ATTTCCCCACCCCGCCTGCCCCCACAACGTGGCCCAGCCCGATAAGATTCTATAAAAAGAAACGCCACAGTTCGTGATTTAGCCCACACTCGGTCGCCATATTTGATCCCCACCGCGGCGTACTGCTCGTGGCGCCGCGAAGAGAGAGAGGAGGCTCCATTAGTTCTAAACTCCTTGGGGGACAGTCAGTAATTTAAATTCCCCTTGATTGCAGTAAGCCTATATATTATATTGTTTATAGTTATACTTTTTTTCATCTTTTCTGCTTCCCTTTCTTTGAAGAGAGTTGCAACATACAGAAGAGCCAGTTATGTCAAATGTGGGAACAAGAAATTACATGAGTCCTGAAGTTATCTTTGGTGCAAATTACACAACAAAGGTAGGCTTCAATTCGCTTTGATTTTCTTTTTTTATGTACAGTTTCGTTTTTGCCATATAGCTAGATATCTAGATGTAAAGATTCTACTGTGCTCTTGTTTTAGGAAAGCAATGAAGTCGTTTTGTATTGTGCTACCCAATACAGCTTATTTTAGTTTATTCTATCATAAATAGAGAATCTTTTTATTTATTTATTTATTTATTTTAAATATGAACACAACCCAGTTTGTCTTCCATTTTTGTAAATTATACAAATTCATGTCGTAGGGTTTTGGTTTTGGTTTTGTTGTCTTTATGGATGTTTTTCCATGTTATGTCACCCTGTTAATTATTGCTTTTCCTGAGAATGAGAATATGTTGAACACTTTAATATACAGGAAATGTTTCGTAAACATTTTTTGGGTAAACTTTCCGAGGCTCGTCTTCCAGTTATCTGTATTTTGAAAAATTGAGCTTGAACTAATACTGAAAATTTATGAACAAGGGTAATTTTTTATATTTATTTGATCACTCTTGTATCCTTTCTGCTCTTCTCTCAACCCGCTTTTCTGAATCTGTGATTCTTTTCATTCTTTGTTGCAATGCTGCTTGAAAAATTACTGAGCTCCTTGTCTTAATTCATCTTACTTTAGGGCCATTCCATGACAAGTAGCCCTGCAGTGGGATGATGACCTACTGGAAAAATTGTAAGCAGTGACAGAGCCGTTCTTTATTTTCTTTTTTTTAGAGGGGACCTTTCTCTAACATGAAAGAATATAGAATAGCGCCATGTCTGCTGGGAATGTTTTCGACAGGTTATCATTCCTGCATTACATTTGAACCTGCATTTTTTTTTTTCATGGAATGGCCTTTTACCCTACAAAGAGAGGAACATTTTATCTATATCTATGTAATATCAAGTCTGTGCTCCTCTACGGCTGCGAAACTTGGAAGACAACGAAAACAGTACTGAATAAAGTCCAGACTTTCATCAACAGATGTATGAGGAGTATTCTAAGAATTAAGTGGCAGGATAGAATAAGAAATGAAGAACTGTGGGAAAGGACAGGACAAAAGGATATAGAAGTAGAAATAGGACTAAGAAAGTGGCGATGGATGGGACACACCTTAAGGAAGCCCAGCGGAAACATCACAAGACAGTCACTGCAGTGGAACCCACAAGGAGCACGAGGCAGGGGTAGGCCACGGGAAACATGGAGGAGATGCGTGGAAAGGGACATGAGAGAAATGAAGCTCACTTGGAACGAGCTTGGAAGGATGGCTAAGGACAGAAATAAATGGAAGGAGCTTGTATGTGGCCTTTACCCTGCCAGGGGTGAAAGGCATTGATGATGATGTAATATACTGAATATGAATCTGAACTCAACCCTATCTGCTCTTCCATGTTTGTAAATAGCACAGGTTCATCTTTGTTGCATAATTAGTTTTTTAAGAACTATCTACATTTTAATGTCTGCCCATGAAAGTATGTGACACGAGATGTTGACTGAGGTTGTATTCAGGGCATAATTATTTCTGCTCCTTTTTTTTTTTTTTGGCTGTTTCCTTTTCTGTTTTAGCAATTGGCTACCTTAAAATTACAAAGTTCTATCTGCCAGTTTGGGCTGTTTTGAGTTACTAAGACCATGAGGTCAGAAATCAAATGTTCTATGCGCTCTACTAAAACTGTAAAAGTCGTTGTCAAGGTATTTAACGAACTGCGTTAGAAAAAGCTTGATATGTTGGGCCGCTAAAAATTTTTCACGTAAAATTTCTCAAAACCAGGTACTGAGCAGATAGATTTTGGTAATTCTAGTTTCCCTTGACCAAATATACAGTGCATTATGTTCTAGCATGAACAGTCACCAAATGCTGAGTTGGTTCTTTTTTTAATCATTAGGGTTTCTATGTTATATATAGGCCCTATGTTATAGCTCAACCAAAGACATTGATAAGGCAGATGATCACTACTGTATTTCATGCAATGTTTTTGTATTCTCTGCAGACGGACATCTGGAGTTTGGGATGTTGCGTGCATGAAGCAATGTCTCTAAGACCTACATTTCAAACAAAAAGTATGTGGGAGCAGATGGAGAGGATGAAAAAGGGAAGAGTAAGTGAGGCCATGAGTACTTCTCTAGAAATTATTAACTTTTCTGTAAATGAATGTATTCGATATTTTGTTTCAAATATGGTGGTCTCTCGTGGTCTAGAGTTAAGGTGTTCACCTCTCATTCAATAGGTCCCAGGTTTGAATCCGCATAACAACGGCCTTTCACTTCCTTTCCTGCTCTATAACAATGTTCTGTTGTCTGCTTTCGTCTCCACTTTCTGCCCCCACCCCCCACCTCCTTATTTGCCCCCTCCTCTGGATTCCTGACTCTTTCTGCAGCCTTTCTACTGCTACTCCTTGCAATGGCTCCTTCTTACTACTGTCTTTCAGCCACACCCCTGATCTTATAGTAGGAAAATTCTACACCTAGCCTTCTCGGATAAGGGGGAAAAATGAAGGAGGTCTTGAGTGCAAGATCCATTTGTGGTTCAAAATCGATAAGAGTTGGCTTCGGCCGCCACCCGGGCAAAATTCAAAATTTCCTACCAACTAAAAATGATTAACCCTTTATCCCCGGCAAGCCGCTCCCAGCAGCTCGCGGTCAGAACCACTGTGCCGGTGAGCAGCGGCTTGGACACATTTCTATACGACAGCTTCAACATCAAATTACTTTTCGGCAATTGCCAAAAACAGTTCTCTTTTGTCGGGAGTTCATTCATTAGATGAAGAGCAATCAAAATAGGTTGACTTGTTTTCAATTAATGACCCATTTAGTGACGTTTTTGTCATTTTTAGATTTAGTACCAAAACAGGGCCCTGGCGTAGTGGGTTTACCCCCCTTGGAGATAAAGAGTTAAGAGTAACTAGAGCAACATAGTGAAGCATACGCCGTCCATAAACGATAAGAGTAGGCTTCGGCTGCCAACCAGAAAAAATTCAAAATTAATTTCTCCACATAGAAAAAGAGTTAATATGTTCTGCACGCTCATATGACCTTGTGCAGTTGCGAGCGTTGTTAAACACTTACCATTAAAAGATATATATATGTATATATGAAAGATCAGTTTTTTTATTACCTTTTTTTAGACCATGTTCATGTTTCTTATTGTTAACAATTCAATAATATCAAGAAGTTTTTGTTCCTCTATGTGGCATTACATCTGTTCTTTCTGCCTCATCTTATTTCTTCCCATCACGTCTTGTTTCTTCCCATCACGTCTTGTTTTTGTCTTTTTTGTAGAAGCTCTAGAAGCATACTAGTAGGCCTACTAGATGGAGGGGGGCAGTAAGTTGAAAATCTCAACGATTATATTGTGGTAATTTTGTTCCTCCCAATTCACAGGTACCACCAGTCCCAGACATTTACAGTCAGCAGTTGAAAGAGTTGCTTCTTCTTATGTTAGACAGAAATCCTGACACAAGGCCGGATGCCTTGGAGATTTTACTGACAGTTTCTGTAAGTCAGTGATGTTGTTAGGAAGCAATACGTAAAACTCTCAAAAATAGATTTCAGTAGTCTTGTGATTCAGTAGACTATAATTGTTTTGATGGGAATAGTGTTCTCCTGTGCATGGCCCCTAATGTACCTGAAAGTTTGATTATCTTTAACTCATTCGCTATGCCGAGCCGTGGGGGGCGTCAGTACGCTAAGCCGCCCCCGGCGGCTCGAGAACCGACGTTCAATTTTAGCTTGGTTTCTATTCCAATCCACAAATCCATGTTAAAATAAAGGTCATAATATAAAGTTGACTTCCGGGTCAAGCGTTTCCACCGAAAATCGGAAGTTTTGATTCACGATTTCGAAGTTTATGCGACATTGTTTTATCGTGAAACCCAAATTATAGCCCAGACACCAGTCTTAGTACTTTTACACAACAAAATGTATCATTATTTTGCTCACTAAAGAAATGTAGGACTCTTCTTTATAATATTGATACTACTAGACTCAAATTGCCAGTGCACTGTAATTGAGAAATCTATATTTTTGAGTGCTAGATCTAGGCCTAGATCTAAATAGTCAAAATATTTTTTTTCTCCCCAAAATCACTACTTTTTGGTGAAATTACTCTAAAAGTACCACCCAAGACATGTATAGGTTTATTTCAAATGCAATTCTGAATAATTCCATATAAGATACGAGCGTTTTTTTCTGTTTGGGATCCTTTTTTCAAAATTATTTAAAATTTAATTTTTTTTCAATATCGGAGGTTGTGATCCTAATGTACAAATATTATGGAATGTATGTAAATAACTGCTCATTTTTCAATATTTTCCTGTTCTATATACAGTTGTGGTTATTTTTATGTATAATTTGACTAGGTGCAAACATATTTTTTGAGTTTCATCTGTCTGAGATTATTAATTTTTTGTTTTCAAATTTTATCTGCAGCCAATCACAATTGTGTTGCATAATCGCGTCTTACAGGAACCAAAGTTGAAAAATACTCAGATAAACAATACAGATGTATTCTACAAATCATACTGAAAACGTTGGTATATAATATGTTGATATTTATTTGAATTTATGGCCCCCAAGACCTGTGAACTGCGCACTAGTCATCATCTCATTTCGCCCTCCCGAAAAAAATTCGTCCACAAGCCGAAAATAATACGTAGCGAATGAGTTAATTCACCCTCATGTTTTCAAAGGCAATTCACGAGGAGAATAAAGACTTCCTCAATTGTTTCCATGCTATTTTTAGATAAAGAACTGGTTGACCTTCAAACCTGGCCCCCTGTGGCTGCCGAACCCCTGCATGGAGCATAATAGCCCTCAGGATTAGACTCGGTATATTAGCATGGAGCATAATCACCTTCAGGGTGCCACCCGGGTTCACAGGGTTAAGATACTCTTTGTTTATCATCCTAGTTACTAAGAACTGAAAAAAAAATGAATCTATGGGCTATAAGGATCATGCTTTCAGGTCTTTCCCATTTTAATCATAATAATTATAACAATAATGATAATGATGATACTGTAGATCGCACTTTTATAGCGCCTACTCCCATGTGCACACAGATCTAAGCTTTTTACATTATAAATCCAAGTGCACAGAACAATAACTATAAAAAAATTGATGTTTGCTCATATTAATGAAGAGGTCACACACACACACGCGCATGCATGCACTCACGCACACACACACACATGCCTGTATGCACACCTGCACGCACGCACTCACACCTTCTCTTTCATCACATATGCATGCATGTGAGGCATTGTGGTGAAATCAGGTGCTCGTCAAAATAATGAAAGCAATATTTCTGACCATAGGCACTTTTTAAAAATTTTCTTTCTTTTTTTTTTTTTGCTCAAAGTCTCTTATGTCCATTTTAAAACACATTTCCATGTGGATTTTCCTGAAAAACACTGATCAAAGGCACAAAAAAAAAGTAAGTTTGCAGTTTCCTAATGCTCTCAAGCTTTGGAATTCACAAAACTTAGGCGGACATTTTCTCACTAATTTTACCTTTGACATGAGGCAACCCCCCTTCATGATAGATGAGTATTTTTCCGTAAAAGCAAGACAAATGAATGCACCATGAGATGCTACTGTCGAACCTGCCTTTACTGAAACCTGTGTAAAACGGAAACCTGTCTTTACGGAATCTCCCCACTCCCCCTTTGATATATTCTTCTTTAATTACGCTCGTACCTATATAAAATGGAAACCTGTCCAACGCAGAAACGGAAAGAAAAATCTGCTCCCTTCCGAGGGTTTTACTTGTCTTGTCTAAGATGGAAAATGTTTTGCTCGCTCAGCCCTGATTTGAAACAAAACCCCATTCCCAAGTTCATTTTCGCCAGCTCTGAACTTAACGCCATGCCACTGGGCGAGGAAGGGGACTAGGGATGCAGGGTGCAATTTGGGGGTAGATGTTACCCCTTCTGTGTGAGCCCTAAGCGATGCAGATGGTCAGGGGGATGTGGGTGTGAAATTCATGAGTGCCAGTAAAAGTGGAGTAGCTAGCCTCCACGGAAACTTTCCTGGGTAGTCAGAAGCGAGAGGTGTGAAATTAGTTTGACCAATACTTGCTGCCTTGATCGTACAGCCAGCCGAGAAAAGAGTTCCTTGAATCGTTGTTACGAGGTAGTGAGGGGTGGCATTGGTTGACTGTGCTTGTAACACCCATGAATGAGGCTAAGGGTGGTAGCAAAGGACATTTTCAAATGGTTTCTTTTTTTTAATAGGTTAAACAGCGGTCCTATGAAATGCAAGTGGTGGAAATTGGATTTATAGTAAGAATGACGCAAGTTCACTATACAGAAAGGATAGCACTTGAGAGATGTGAAGTCCTGACTACGCACTGCTTATCGACCGGACAAGGGACCCTTGATCCCACCGGCTGGGCCTTTGAAACCCCCCCCCCCATCTCCTCCCTAAATTCCACTGTATAAGACGGAAAATGTCTAATACGGGATTTTTTTTCTGGCTCCCTTGCGATACCCTCTTGCACAGGTTTGACTGTATGTTGTTACTGATCCCTTAATCCACGAGGATCGTAGGAGCGCTGTATGACAGAGAGCCTCGAATCGTCAGATGCCTCCATTTTCTCAGTTTTTTGCAAGCACCTGAGTTTGGGCGAAGGATTTCCCTGTCCACTCAGCAATGTTGTCAGTCTACCTCTAATAAGATGATACCAATAGCTTTATATGCCCAAAAATTGACAAGTGCCTGATTCCACCACGCCATGACACATGACACATACGCAACATTATGAGTGAAGTATACAAATACATTGGAAGTAATACAACAGTGCTTGTTATTAAATTCCTTATTTTCTTAACAAAACTTTCTAAGTGAGTTTCATCAAACAGATTGGGTTTTTTTATGCCTGTCATCTGAAGCAGCCCAAATTCAAGATAACATGCTCGATAATGATGGCATCAACTTTTGTTATTTATTATTTATTTCAGCAAATCAATGGCCTACCCTATAAACCTGGTCCCCTTGAAGTAATCAAAGAAGTTGATCTTGACCCCAACAGTGTCATTAGTAAAGTTCATGAGTTTCAAGTGAAAGCAGAATTTTCTGGCCCATACAAATCATCAAAGAGCATGGAAACTAGCACAACAGAAGTACAGAGTATAGCTCCTTCAGGTTTGTGCCATTTGGTATTACTTACTCTTATGCCACAAGGTGTCAAGGGGAGACGCAAGTATCGGACATGGGCCAGGTGTGTTGCCTTTTGGATTGTCATGTTGTTCCTTTGAAGAATCTTATTTGGTGTTAACTTTTGCATAAATGAAGACTGTGAAAATAATAGTGACATAATAGGCCTACATCTCAACTTATCAATGTCAACAAATTGCTCTTGTCCTATTTCTTCATAAGCTTTCAATTAAATTAAAAAATTTATTGCCCTACCATTTTTGGTTTGTAATTACAAAATTGATTTCTATCATGATTTTTTAATAGTATTTTCTAATTTTGAAATTATCTCGATTCTTGATCTAAAAATAGTATGTTGATAGTGTATAATGATTTTGCAATGACCACTGGAAAGAATGTTCTTTTTTTTCAACTTTTTAGCATACAGTCTGTTTATGGTTTATTTGCATTTTATCATTCTCACAATCTTTATCAGTATGAATGATTGCAGTTTGGGGGGGGGGGGGGGGCAGCTGAAGGCTATCTCACTTATTAGTGGATCAATTGTTACCAAATTTCACACATATAACAAGCATAGTAAGGGGTCTTAAAATCCGCAATCAAATTTGAAAAAACAAATTTGTTTCCATGGATATGGTGGCCATATTGGATTTTGTTGACATGTCTTACGTAATTAATACCACACTTATTTTTCATGGAAAAATTATTTTTTTTTCACGCATCTTGGCAAACAATAGATCTACAAGTCTGTTTGTCGAATTTTTCCTAAACGTACTAGAAAATTTTTAATGATTTTTTTCCTGACGTAGATTTCTAGTATTCACGTTTGCAAAAAATCCGGGAAAATCCCCACTCCAAACACCACCAACAAGAAACTATTCCATATATCAAATATTTATCACGCAAGTGTTGAGTATTACATCTTTTCTTCATTTTGTGAAAATTTCATGAAGATTGGATGAAAAATGGTGGGGTTATTTAAAAAGTATATAGAAAGTTTTGAGAAAACGGGCGATAAAGAAATATAAAAGATAGACTTTATGAGGAAATGGTGAGGACAAACATTCCTGATATGGGAAGAAATGAGGCTTTAGGGGGTTCTTATGTGATGAAATAATTGTAAGAGAGGCTGAAGAAGCTAAAAATACCTACAACTTAAAATCCATAGTTTTGAGTCGAATCAGGACCTTTGGGGTGTCCCCCCCCCCCCCCCTTAATTGTTTACTTCAGTGCAGTAACTGAAGGTAGGAAAATGTGTTCTTTTTCATTCTCTTTTATTTCTGCTTGACCTTGTTTGCACCTATTGAGTGGGTGCCTGAGGTGTCACAAAGAAGTCATATGACAGTCAGCAGAATTTTATGGAGATTTCCTCTGAGCAATGCTGTTGGTGGAAACTCACACTAAGAAGTTTATTTCTCCCAGCCAGGTGCAAATTTTGTACCTATTATAAATCTTTATGCTGTGCATTCTTGCATTTGTTCTGATAATTTGTATGGGGATCACCTACTTTTATGTTGTTCTTTCAATAATAAAAGAAAGCCGTGCTCAGATAGACCTACATATACCATACTAATGTTCGATTACCCAGCTCATATCGAAAGAAATGTTCCCAAAATACCAAAGAGAAAAATTTAGAGATTTATTGCAATGAAATTATATTTTCTCTAATCCTCATGTCCAAAGTGTGGGAGTAGAGTACACACAAGTTGGTACTTCAAGGACAGCACAAGTAAGGCCTTGCACACACAAGGAAAATTTAGCCATGTCGTACAGCTGCAAGTATGCAAATGAGGCAACTTTTGCCCGTTCGTTGCTCTTCACCATTAAATGACATCATATTTCGCAGCCCGTACAATGAGTAGAAATGTTTTTAGTGTGCACAAGGCCTAATGAAGCGATAAAACTGAAATTAATTTGATTAATTTCGTCTATAATGTTTTCAGAACCTGAAGTAAAGTCTGTCCCGAGACCTCTTCCTCAACCAAAGTCTTTCTCACCTCCGAGCCTAACATTGCCTGCAGAAGAAGACTCTCAAAAGAAAAGTGATGATCATGTCAAGGACAGGACAAGTGCCAGCACTGCAAATGAACCAAGCAAGCCAAGTAGTAAGAACTCCACTAAGGATGAGGAAGGCTCAGAATCATCAGCCTCTGAATCAGAGACTGGCATAGAAGACTCAATTGACTCGATGACCCTCACATCCAATATGTCTCCCAGAAGCTTTCTTTCTCAGTCACAGGGTAAGTTAATGGCAAAATCCCTTGCTCTTAATAGTAATTATAATTATTGCAATTTTATAGTAACTTACATTTATGGCATACTCTTTGGGCTGTACAGCTTTTGTCCTTTGTTGTGAATACACTATTTTGCAATGCCGAAAGTGAAGAAAAATGAGGATCAATGGGAAATCTGCCATATAAGTGAGAGGGAGATTCTTGAAAAAATGTAGAAATTTTTAGAGGTCACATTTATTTTGCCTTATGACTGTCAAAGTTTTATCATTTAAATATTCTCATTAAAAAATACAAACTTCAGAACAATGGTAAACTCTGCTCCTGAGGAAAAAATCTGCATAAAGCAGAATTTTACAAATATATATGATGACTACTTTGATGTAACCGATGTCCATCTATTCAAAGACATTTTGTTTAGAGCTTTTTTTCCTGCTTATACTTATCATTTTTCCACAGACATGATAGACCCTACTTTCATGGAACGTTTGGCTGTGGAATCTCAAGAATGGTTAAGGAAACGTTTTCAGCACGATGGGGATAATGAGGTAAAAATGCACTTCTGGGCACAATGTTGGCTCTTTTGGTATCATTCTGGACTTTGATGCAGATGGCACTAGTTCAAACACCCAGGGAATTGTTCTTAAATTTGTATTGTTCAGGAGTTTTAAAAGCTCTCTACCTATTTAGCTCTGTACTATCAGAGGTGTACGTTGAATCCAGAGGTGAAAAATTTTACAAAGTGGAAAGGGTTGTTACCCATACTGCACTGTTATAACTTCCAATCTTTAGATTAACTGCTAAATTGGGTACCTATACTTGAATACCCAGCTCGTATTGATAGAAATGTTTCCATAGTAAGTAGTAGTAAGAGTTTCTGGGCGCTCGCAACTACCTAAGGTCATATGAGCGCACAAGAAATGTTTTTTAAAATTCTGAACAGAAAGATTTAGAGATTATAAAACATAAAAATCCCAACAATGGCCACAAGGGAATGAGAATGTTTCACAAGTAAAATTTTTGGAATGAGAATGGTCCACTCAGTTCAGATACAGGGTGTCTAAAAAAAGGGGATCCATTTACAGGGCAATAATTCTGCCATCTTTGCACTACTTTCAACAAAACTTCAACAAATTAAATGTAACCATGAAAACACCAGGATTGTAAATATTATAGAAAATCAATCAACATATTTGAGAAATATCAAAGTTTTAAAATGTCAACCAAAATTGGGTAAAACTCAAACTTTTACTCCTGAACAATGTTCAGCTACAGGGGTGTTTTCAGAATAATAGGCCTTAGGACGGTAAAAACCACAACAGTCACTTCAGATGGATATCTCATCATGCTGAAAACGTTTTGCAAAAGTTTGGGGAGAAAGTGTTATGCTGTAGAGGCCAGGTTCCAATGGGATGGGGACACACCCCACATGTCAAGAGTGGCACTTGTGTGGTTGTAAGAAAGGTTTAGAGAACGTCTTATAAACCAAAAGTTTTAAAAATGAATGGTCACCACATTTACCTTAACTTGGGCCTATTCATTCATTACCTGTTTTTTGTGGGGGGGGGGTTCCTTTTTTGAGGGACAGAGTCTTCGGGGGAAACACAAACAATTGAAGAGTTAAAGCTCAATATTGAACTTGACGTTTAAAGAATCGACCCAGAAACATGCCTCAGAGTTATTCAAAACTTCCGGTGACGTATTGGAGCTTGTAGGGAGAGAAATGGAGATTTACTTATAGACATAATCTCCCTGGGGTTATTTGGCAATATAAATTTGTATAGATTTGTTTTTCAATGGGTAAATAGTGACTATTTGTGGTTGAAATTTTTAAAATTTGATTTTTTGTTTGTTTGTTTGTATGTGTTTAACGCCGCTCGCAACTGCATAAGGTCATATGAGCACGCAGGACACATTACACGTTTTCAGTTGGTGAAAAATTTTTAATTTTATCAGAGTGGCGGCGAAAGCCTACTCTTATCGATTTTAGGCCACCAAGGGATCTTTATTGTGCGCAACTTGCACACGGGTCCTCCAAGATTTTTCACCCTTGTCCAAGAAGGCTAGGTGTAGATCAGGGGTGTGGCTGAAAGACAGCAGTAAGGAGCCAAGGAGTAACAGAAGAAAGGCTACAGAAAGAGTAAGGAGCCCAGAGGAAGGGCCAAAGGAGGTGAGGGGGTGGGGGCAGAAAGAGGAGAGGAAAGCAGACAACAGAGCATTGCTAGAGAGCAGGAAAGGAGGTGAGAGGAGACAATTTTAGAGAAGAAAATTGTTCTGTCGCTACCCAGATTCGAACTTGGGACCTTTGAATGAGAGGCCAACACCTTAATCTCTAGGCCACGAGATCCCCCTTCGAAAGTTTAGATTGATTTCTTTCATATTCATATATTTAACCGCCTTATGGCTGAATTTTATTTCTTCGAAATTTTGCTGAAATCAGTCGAAAGATAACTAAGTGATTGCCTTTTGAATGGGTTCTCTTTTTATAGACAACGGTACTTTTTGTTACAGGGTATGAAGGCTACTCATTTTGTGAAATATATGTGGACTTATAACTTTATTTCCTTTGCCCAATGATTAAGGTTAATGTGTATTTACTTCATTCATGGACAGTTCGTCTTTTTCATGGACTTTATAGACAAACAGAACTGTGTGGAAAAACTCTGTCTGGGAAGGATTTTTTGGTTAATTGTTGATGGTATTGAGATACATCTTCATCTGAAGAAGCTGAAATTAGACGACAGACTTTCAATCCATATCATTACCTTTATTTGCCACTTTGTATTTCCCAACTGTCCTCTTCCAATGCTACCTACATATGTGACACGAACATTCTAATCATGTCACAATTTGTCAGTGCTAGTTTAATTTGTGTAAAGAGCCTTTCCCAAGGACACAACGTCAGGCTCCCGACAGGATATGACCTTATGGTCGCAAGTCCAAGAGCCTAACCTATACACCATCGACCCCACTATATGTAGATTTGAACATTTCAGTGCGACTTTTTTACGTCTCTGGTAAACATCTTCAGGTCTGTTCGAGAAAACTGGCCCAGGACCCCCAAGCCGAACTCGACTCTGAATGCCAAGTCACTCTTTACACCAGGGCTCAGAATGTCAAGTTTCACAAGAGCACGGACAGCACAATTTCTTCATGACATTGAGCCGGTTCAAGGTCCTGCAGAAAAAATTGTTGTCTAAATATTTTTCACCTCTCTTCAGTAATAGCCCACATTTTTTCATTTAGTATCTGTTAAGATTGTGGGTGTTTTGTTGAAGTTATAGAGGTAATGTCCATATGTTATTATAGTTCTTTTACTCCTGAGAAGAATTTAAGCCACGACTGCTGACAAAAATAATTTCTTAAAAAGAAAGTAATAGAACCTACTAGCAGTACCATCTATTTAACCAAATGAAAATTAAGGATAATATTTATTTTTTTTGGTAAACTCCATGTGCCATGGCATTCAGACTAGCTATTTAAGCACTGTTACATTTGAGATCACGACCTATGATCATCTTTGCGGATGCAATCTGAGGGCTCAGTTAGTGTATAGTCACATAAAGTCTCTGACTCTGAGGGCTCAGTTAGTGTATACTTGCATAAAGTCTCTGAGCAGGTTTGGGACTGACCTCATAATACCTCCAGTAGTGAAAAGTTAAAATGTGCATACCAAAGCTCTTATGCTTTAACCATGTAAATGGTTTCATTAAAATTCTCAGTCAGTAATAAAAACACCCTTCTAATATCTAATTTCACTTATTAATGAAGACACAAAAGGTGGCACAAAAGTACAGTAGTCTCCGCCTAAACGTATGTCATACAAAGGCACGCTCCGCTCAAACGCACGCTTTCGTCTTATGACGAGTTTTTACTATATAATTTAGACGTACAAATGCACAGTCACTTGTTTTAAACACACACTTCAATTTGCGAAACATGTCTACAGGCAAAGCTTGACAAGGGGAAATTTTCACTGCAGTCTACATACCTTGACAAGCCTAGACAACTGGATACAGTGGAATTTAGATTCAACGAAGTCGTCGGGCCTGGCCTTCAATTTCATAGAATCGGAGTGTTTGTTATGGAAAATATGAGGGTTTTGTGTAGATAATTACAGGCACCGAGCAAGTAAAGACATTCTCAATCAAAAGTAGTTGGGCTTCAAATGAGAGGCATTTTCAGGGTTTTTGTACCAATGAATTGCTCGAAAATTTCAGGAAAATACACTGAACTCTACCAAGCACACACTGTGCGAAAGGGCCGATTTGTTCAAATGTACGCCTGTGTCATCTATCATCTATTGTATTATCTATGTATTGTTTGCCAAACAAGTTATGTTGCTGTGTAGAGCCTAGTAACGTACAGCAACGTTTGATTCCACTGTCCGGTCCAGCATTATCCTATCATTTTAATATTGATCAGTAACCTAGGAATAAAGATAAACTGTGTCTCATTTGTATCTCTCTACTGATGTTCCACGCCCGACCGTTTGATCCCCCTTCCCCCATCCCTCCTCCTACCCCCTGGACACGCGCACACCCAGTCACACGTCACATGTGTGCTGGCCGCCCGTCCGATCCCGGCACACGCTAAGACATGAGTGCGTGATAACAATGCGTACATTGGTATGGAAGGAGGCTGAGGGTTGGTCGCATACGGTATGATAGAGCAGTTCATCCAGCAAGCGACTTTGTTGAATCCGAGCTTGCTCATTTATGTTTTCTTTGAAACCAAGTTGTTTTTATTGATATTTATGAATTAAAAATATCGCGGAATCCAACTCCTTTTGATGAATCCAAGTTTTCGTAGTTCGTTGAAACTGATTTCCACGGTACCTGTATTTGGTGAGACTGACCCTCACGCAGAACAAAGAGAGCGATGGTCACAGTTTTCATGCCCCACTTTCCACAAACACATAGTAGGTCAAGGACTGGTCTGGTAATATGTTGGGCCGGGAGGGGGGCTGTAATGTCTTCTGATTGGTCCCTCGAAATTTATCTTTGAGAGAGGCTTTCTGACTGGTGTTTCAGTGACAGCATACGTAATGTTTAGTTATACCTATGATGCGCAACACGTGTGAATGCTGTAAAACATTAGATAGACCTTTTATTAAAGATTAGTAAAGAAGTCAGTTGCACTCAAAGAACTTAGAAAGTACTTTTTCAACAAATCATCCATGCATTTACTGAGTTGCAATAGATGACAAGCAGTCGGGATTGTTCACTTAGAATTGGAAAGCCGTGTGGCTGATAGCTTTTCCCTATGACTGGATTTATCAGGAACAGTTTCCTCTTATCTGTTCCCGATATTTTATAGTGCATATCTGTACAATGAGTCCGTCTTTCTGCCCCCCCCCCCCTCCCGAACCCATTCAACGCCTTTGTATTTTATCATTCATAACTGCAGTCGGGGAATCTTTCACAAAACAGTCACGTATCGTCACACAATCGGTCAAAATGTCCCATTGCCCCCAAGGGAGGTCACTAAAATATCAAGGAAATGAGATGATTTTGTCTCTTCCTCCCTTTGCAAAGGTTCATGTATTATATAAATGCACACTCTGCATAAACACATGCTTAAGGGCCTTCCCGAGCACCGTGCGTTTAGGTGGAGACTACTGTACTTCTTTTCTATTTATAGTGCATGTTGACTCCTTAATTTTTTTAAAGACCTGCAGATCAACCTTGGCAATGCTTTTAGAACAAAAGAGAACCAATTTCTTCCAGTTACGTGGTAAGAGCATGCATACCCTTAATTTGTATTTCTATTCCATGCTTTGATCAAGTTATGGTAAAATGCAATTAATAACCCATGTGGAAAAGTGCTTTCATGCTTCTTGTCATAGGTAATTAGCAGGTTGAAATACAAGTCGATTTTTCAAGGTTCAAAGTCATTCGCAATGTTCACTGTAGCTATTGCCATAGTGGAATGTATTACTAACTTGTATCTAAAAATGGGGGACAGGTAATTTGGTTTTAACAATACTCCTGCATCTTTTCCCCCCTTTTATGGGTTTTGTCACTTTTATAGAACGACACATACAGTCAAGCCTGCTCTAACGGCCACAGTCCAAGACAATCACCACAGCCCACATCCACCTTTGCATTTCTTTTTATATTATAATGGCGCTGTTCAACGAGCTCAAGACGTCCACCTATCTAAGACAACCACTTTTCTCCTCAACAATGGATGGCCTTCTGGAGCTATTTCGACCGTTTTTATTTTCTTCTTTAGGGAGGATGTTAAAAGAGAGTTTGTACTGTCTATAGATAAGGGAAGAAGAATAACTTCAACAAGATGTCATAGGAGTTTGCATCACGCACAAAACTCAAAGCAGCAGCTTCAAAAAAGTATTCCTTTACAAGTAATGCATGTCGTTTAGGAATTGCCACAGTGACAATCATTCTCTGAAACTAATTATTGTAACTTAAGCATTATCCTTTGTAAAATATATTTTTTATATCAAGGTAAATAATATTTCTACTGCCTTGTGTGTAATTCTGTGGAGCAGTGTAAGCCTCGGGTTGACTGGACTTGTAATGTGCGAGTGTCCAGTGTAAGAGAGAGCCAGAAGGATATATTTATTTAGTTGTATGATGATTATATATCTCTCTCTTACCATCTCCGTCCATGAGGAAAATACACCTTTAACAATTTCTGTCCTGACAACATGTAAAGCACCTTCAAGCACCAGAGCTGTTCACACACGGGGGGAGGCACTAGAAGAAGGATTTACTTTATTATTTTTATATTTGGGGAATGCTTATTAGGGCCAAAATAGCTTCCCCCCCCCCCCCCCCCACCTAATTTAGACTACCCTTTTTTCGTTGCAGTAATTGTTCTCGAGAATTGAAGGGTTAGTTTCACTTTCCCAATTCAGCACCTTTGTCATTCGGTTTAGTTTTATCTCTGTGCTCAGCGAAAGTATACCACTACCAATGTATAAATTATAGACTATAATTTGTTGTAAAAGGTATTTATACTGTTGAAAAAAGAAATAGAATGGTAGTCTATGGGTTTGACCCTAGAGTACTAGAATATCTTAGGGGGTCAAGTCAGGGGTAGAGTTAGGAGTAGTAATTATAAATCGCCTAAATAAGGGGAGTGCTGATTTGGCCTACATGTTGCCCAAAAAGGTCACTCTCATTATAATTGTTATCTATTATATTATATTATATTTGGCAACTTGGAAACTTATTTGTCACTTTTCCCATAAAACTACGACAGCTACAGAGTTGAAAGTTGGCAAGTACCTGCAAAAAGATAAATAGGTCCCCACGACGGAGCCCGATTTTTTAAAATTCATTTCCTGAATTCAGAAAAATATATTTGACAAAAAGTTCGCGTCCTTCTTTGGCCTTTGTGATTATTCCACTGAGAAACAAAACAAATCTGCGCAGCTGTCCTCCGCAGCGGAAGTGCCGGAAGTGATATTTCGCAAGGCGCATTTTGTTTTGAGAGTATAGATCTAGATCTAAACCTTCCAATTTTTTGCATCTCTCAAGATAAATTGCTTCATTCCAGTAGAGTCTAAATATAGTTGGCCAATGACTTTCAGTTGATGTTAATGCACCAATCATTCCTTTCATCGAAAGGGGGCCCAACTGGTCATATATATGTCTTGAGTGTGTCATTATAATATGTGAGTCTCGCTGACAAAGTGAGTTACTTCTGACAATCAGCGAATGGAGATATCTGCAAATTTGACCCTTAAGCCAGTTTTCTACCAGTATCTCCATTCGTGGACTGAAAAGTAATTCACTTTATCAGCATGCCCCACATATTAAAGATGAAATTATACATGAATAAATGAAGACTTTGCAACAAGCGCATTGTTTCCAATATTGTAACTTTTGCCTTTAACTCTATAGATCATGAGAAGGAACGTTTGCCTATACAGACATAAAATATTTTCACAAAATGTGCTGTGACTAATGAGTTTCAACTGTTTTCTTTGCCTTCAGTCTTCAGGCATAGGAGAGTCTTCTATTCGAGCATTGGTTGGACAGAAATTCTTCCACGTTATTCTGGCAAGCATGCTGCTGCAGTAATAAGAAATAGATTCTGAAGAGAAATTAGTTACGAGTATTTTAATTAATACAATGTATCAATACAGTCACCTCCCAGTTATGTCTTTTCCTTTGGTAAACCCTATCTGAGAGACCGCGGGAAATACTTTACAGTCCCTCTGACACAATTTAGATCATTTCATTTCAAAGGCAGGCCACATCTACTCTGTCTGTTATGACCATCCCAGTCTGGACAGGATACTATGTTCAACTAAGCAGAAAGGTGGAGACATGTGTACCAGATAAAATGGTCGCTTTTAAGGACAAGTGGGCTATCCCGAAAAATGCTGTTTTGTTCAATTTCATACAAGGAGAGTTTTCTCTATAAACAAACAAATATACACACCAGTGAAGCCAAACTTCTCCTATAGGTAGGGCAATGCCCATGTTTTGAGTAGGTCAAGATTTCCAGAAATCCCTGAAATCTGGGTTAGCCCGCTTGTCCTTAAAAGCGACCAAATATCTTCCAGACTTGGGAACCAAGCTCGTCTATTGCATTCAAGGTGAAGAACCAAACAATTATGTTATGTCCACCACAGATACCAGCATTCTTTCAGAGAAGGTAAATGTGTATATAAATTAGTACAAGGGACTGGAGGTTTTTTTTCCACACTCTTATTTATATTGAATTTGATGAGGGCCCTCCACTGGCTGATGCAAGAGAAGAAAATAACTGTGTGATCCATCCAATATCTCCTAGGTTCTTCTTATTACTCATTCCACTTGGCTATGTGACTGTGAGAGTAAGCATATATGCAAACTAAGGCTTGAGCCAATTTCTTTAGGACACTTTCAAATGTCAAATTAAAATGACTGTTCATAAAACTTAAGCAAATGTCCCTTCAGATTGAGGGCTCACGTGGTTCAAATCTGCTTGGGTGTAGTATTATAATCAGACCGCTGTGAGTGAAAATCAGTTATTGCAACAACGTTTGTTGATTGCTAAATCACATCCCTTTATTCATTCCTTTAACACAACCTTTGATCCTGCAAAACTGAATGAAGACAAGAAAGAAAGCTATATACGAGGACAAAAATAACAGGAGCAAAGAATAAGCCTCCTCAATCTACATACTGCTCAGATGATGGTTTTTACCATTGTAGATCTATAGAAGAGGGAGGAATCAGTAAACAACTTCATGGAAAAAAGATCGAGAGCGAACAGAATGAAGGATAATTTTTTTCAAAGCAAAAGAGTACATGTTCTGGGCCACACAAAATCTTCTTTTCTTTTTTTTTACAACCCTACACTCAGGACAGAGCTCGGCTCAATCAGTCATGTGTTTACATTCTACTCTCCAGGAAAATATGAGACAATAAAAATATGACAGTCAACAATTCATAATATATTCCTCCTTGTTTCGGTAGCCCAAAGAACAGAAAGTATACAGCATAATGTAGACTCAGAAATTAAAATAAAACAAAACAAATACATGTTCCTTGATTGACCTTTATATTTATTCAAAATAACTTTATCGATTGTACAATGGTAGCTGAACTTGTTTAATAAAATGCTACACGAGGACAACATATCACCACTGGTAAATCTGTCTCACACTATACAACCAGCACAAATACACATCCACGAAGGACAAATACTACATACACACAAAGCAGGGAACAACTTGATCAATGTCGGTGGGGAGAAGATGATACTGGTAAAAAGTGTTTCATTTTTATAATCAATTATGATGGTTCTATATTTAATATT